TTTGAGTGCCAGAATTTCGAAGGTGTTACTGGTGCCGTACTTTTGTTCCTTTTCTCTCTTATTTAGCCGGTGTAGCCAGAGGAGATGAGGATGAGGAGAAGAGGACGCTCCTCTTCGAGCTCCAAGAAATGTCATCAGAGGTTTCCCGGCTGGAGAAACAAGTGGGAGACCTGCAGAGGACGGCAGAGCTGGCCCGAGAGAAGAGCTCACGTGAGAAAGAGCAGCTGCAGGTGAGGAGCACACGAACAGGAGGTGCTGTGTGGTCTCATCTGTTTCTCGTCTTCACAGCTGTAAACGTCCATGTAGAGTTAAAAGTAGCTGCTCATCAGTATTTATTTCATTTCACGCCTGTTTATATGTTAAACTGGGAGTAATTCCATCTTTTCAATTCCTCAGGGGGCTTTGACGGCTCTCCAGAAGGAGCTCCGAGCCAGAGAAGAGGCCCTTGCTGTGTTGGAGGGCCCCACTTTGGGAAAAGAGGAGGCACTCGCATCTTTAAAGGAGGAGAGGAAAAAAAGAGATGAGGCCGTTGCAGCGCTTGGAGATCTAAAGCAAAGTAACGAGAAGATGCTGGAGTCCTTTGAAGAAGAGAGAAAAGGCAAAGAGAAAGCAATGGCAGCCCTGGAAACTGAGAGGAGAGCCAAGGAGGAGGCCATGGCAGCGCTCGCTGCTCTTCATGAAGAGAAGAGTAGCAGGGAGGAGGAGGAGAGGAAGGAGATAAGCAGGCTGGCAGAGCAGAGGAGGCATGAGGAGGCGGACGCGCTCCGACAGGAACTGGGAGAGCTGAGCGTGAAACTGGAAACTGCAGAACACCAGGTATGATTTTTATCCGGAAATGTGACCAAAAATGTTAAATCGATCACCCCGGAGACGGTGACGGCCCTGGAAACAGTTCACAGCGCTCTCACACATCAGTCGAGACGTAGTGATGGTCATTTTTTTCTATGTATCAAACTTCTGTATAAAAGTGTGGCGTCAGGAAGAAGATCCAACTCAAGTATGTGCCGAGTTAAAGTTGTGGGAGCTTCCAGCTGTGGTGGGAATCAGAGGGCAGCCAAACGTTTGATGCTTTGTTTAAACTCTGGAGGCCAGAAACTGCCCAAATCCTCTGTGTGTGTGTGTGTTCAGCTACATGTCGTTTATATCATGTGGAATTTTGTCTCTTGTGTTTGATTAAAACTCCCTGTGTTTACCCTGAAACTTCCACAGGTGACCAGCAACGCAGAGAGAGCTGAAAAAGCTTTTGTCCAACTACAAGCTGCTCAAGCACAAGTGGATGAACAAGCCAAGGCGATTCAGGAGAAGTGTTCCCAGATCCAAACTCTGATACAGGAAGCTGAAAGGCTAAAGCAGGAAGTGCACGCCTCTGCAGTGTCACAAGGTGCGAATGAGAAACTGCAAGAGGAAGTGTCTCAGTTTCAGAAGAGCCCGGCTGAGGAAAGACAGAAAACTGAGGCCAAGCACAGAGAAGTGCTGCATCTGGAGCACGAGCTGGCTGAGGTCAAACAACAGCTGGCACACAAGCAGCTGGTCCTGGACCAGCAGCTGGAGCTGTGGAGTCAGAAGGAGGCATCTTCAAAACAGGAAGTTGAAGAACTGCAAAAGAAACTTAAGCAGCAAGGAGAGATGT